ATTCGTATTCACGTGAGCTTAAAATCCAATATCGTGATTCGTTTTTGTGGTTGTAATATCGCGCGATTTAAAAATTATGCATCGTGATCAAAAAATTAAAAAATCATGATTTGTATTTTCGCATTTTTTAAATTCGATGTAGAGTTTCATATTTACGTGATTTAAAAGTCTCATATCGGGATTTATATTCACATGCTTTACAAGTTTAAAAATCGCACTTTTTTGTCAAATTTTTGTTTATATATATATATATATTTTTTTTTTTTCTTCTTTCTTTTTTTTTTTGTTTTTTGGATTTCCTCTTTTATACTTTCTGACTACTCTCATCCCTGGATCCGAGAAATTCAATTCTTCTGATAGCACGCGTGGTATCTTTGATGTATACTTCATTTTAATGTGAAATTGTCAGAAATGCCAGGAAAGTGTTTTTTTTTTAATAATTTATGGACACTTGATGAAAAATATAAGGAATGGCTAACAGCATCTAGTGATCGTCACAAGGCAAAGTGGATTTTTTTCATTTTATCATATTTTCTTCTGAAATTGAATTTTATAAATGACTCCATTTTTTAATATTAGCGATATTACGAATATTCGGCGAAGTATAATTTTAATCAGGAAAGTTATTTTCCTCGTTTTATCATCGATACTTTTTGTTTTAAAAAGAGTGAAATGTTAGTTTTCTTTTTTCACTTTTGCTGTTTTTTTTATATTTATTGCTTGGTATATTAAAATTTTAACTGATCTTTCTGATATATTCGATATGTTGAATAACGAAGAGGGCCTTTCTGCGCCATTTTTGAACTTGGGATTTTACGTTTCTTGAAGATTATTTTCAGCGGGACTTATTTTGCGATCGCTTTGCGTTTTATTTCGACGGGATATAACGTTTCAAGTAAATTATTTTCAGTGAGACTTTTGCTACTTAGCGATCGTTGCGCATTATTTCGTCACTTTTTTTTCTGTCTGGATTTACAGTTGTCAATTATTTTCAGCAGACCTACTGTTACTTGGCGATCGCTGTTATCTTAAATTTTCGTTCTCAACTTAATATATTAATGAAAAGAAATCATGAATTAAAAAAAAAGATTCTTTTTTTATTTTTTTAAAAGTGATACAATTTAATATTTTGTATTTAAGTAATTTATACTTCGTCATAAAAAGTTAGTTTTTTTTAAGAATTTATTTAATTCACATAAATATAATTGATAGAATTTGATTAGTTTTTAAACCAATAAATCTTCAGTAGCTTTTAGTTTAAAAAAAATTAAAACAAAGCCTACATTTAAGTAATTTGCTTTTATTCTTGAGGAAATTAAACAGAGTTTGCGTTATTTTTTTTATTTTTTATAATTTGGCTGTTTGTTAAAATGACTAAATTTTTTAAAATTTAAATGAAAAGTTGAGCAAGGTTTTAACGCCTTTCAATAATTTAACAATAGTGCTCTTAAATATAGAATATATATATATATATATTTTTAAATCCTTCAATACATGTTCGATTTATAATTTGTTAGATAGTCAGTATTATTTTTAAACATTTAAATCTTTAGTCTATTTCATTTTCAAAAAGGAAAATAATAATAAATAAATAAAACTTTATTTTTACATTAAAACCATTTGACCATTAGTCAATACAACTTTATTATTTTAAATAAGTAATTAACTAAAGCCTAACGGTGTTTTAAAAGCACTTTTTTTTTTCAACAAATAATTTAAAAAATTATATATTTTAGTGGACATTTCTTTCTTTTTTTTACTGTATGTAAAATATTTTGTAACAGTTTTATTATTATTTTTAAAAAATCTAAGTCACTTTTAGTTCTAAAAAATAATTAAAATGAAGCTTGCTTTGGTTTTTACTCTAAGACAGTCTTTAATCAATCCATCTTTATTTAAATTGAAAAAATTAAGCAATGCTATTAATGTTATAGAAACAATTGTTTTTTAGAATTAAAATTTTCTTTTGTTTTAGATTTATTTATTTCTGATTGATAAATTTCAAACATATGTTAAATCACGATGTCTAACTGACGATCTATCGCAATATAAAATTTCTTGCAACGGCCAGGCCTATTTTTACATAAACTATAATAATTTTTGAGGATTTTTTATTTTTTAAATGTTGTTTGATCACTGGGTAGGCAGCCGATTTATTTGGCTGGATATTTGACTATTCGGCCAAATCACTATTCATTTTTTCCTCTTTTATAAAATAGTTATATATATATATTGGATGCAAATATGGTATATATATACAATCCATATTTGCATCCAATTTTCCTTACCTTTGATTTATTTGACAAATTATTGTTTTATTATTTCAGACAATACTTTAATTATTACGAATTTTTTTTTTATCGTCTATTATTTTAGTTCCTTTAATATCTATACAAGACACAATACTTTTTAATTGAATAAATTCTAATTCCTCAGAGGTGCAGTATTGCTTATCACACACTGCATAAAATTTTTTATAACTAAAAGCAGACTATTTTAAAAAGATTTTTATCTCTTTTTATAAATGATGTTTCTGATTCCACTATGTTTTGTTGTTTTCCCCCTTCATTTACAATAAATTTTGTACTTGATGAATTATTTCATTTCAATTTCTAGATATGCAATTTTTTCATTTTTATTTCAATTGATCATTACATCCTGCCTAGTCCTGTGTTTCAATATTTATGTTAGCACTTATTTTAACTATCATTTCTGTTTCTCAGTTCTTAATTTTAATTAATAAGTTTTCCTTGTAGTTTATTTCTTTTTCCCTGATTGTTAGGTACTAAATATATTCCGATTTTAATCACTAAATTTTTTATATTAATTTTGTGATTTTAATAAATCTTTAGCTTATTATAATTAGGTTTTACTTAGTTTAAAACAATTGTCTTAACTTCAATATGCTTATATTTGTTAGTTTGTTTTTGTCTTGGTTTACTATTAGAGCACTCAAAATAATATTTTTATTAATTTAATGAATTTACCATCTTAATTTATATATTTCTATCTGTGTACCCAGTTTTTTTCTATTTTTAAAATAGAAAATCTTAATCTGCATTCTTTGAGTTTTTCTTTATATTCTTAAAAGCTTACGTGAGGTGATTGAATGCAATTTAATTTTAATTAAATACAGATTGTTTCTTTATGTAGTTTTTTTTTAGAAATTTTTAATGGATGACTGAGTTGAAGAAAAGCTATTCCATTTTTTTAATCTATTATTATTAATCTATGATGTTTTATTTGATGATAGACAATCATTATGCCATTTTTTAGGTCCTTAATTTCTAGAAAAAAAGTCCTTAATTTTTGTGATAAAAGTCCTTAAAAGTGCTTAATTTTTACTGTGATAAAAGAGTGGGAACCCTGATAACAGAAATCAAGACTAAGTCGACTTTCACCGGTGAATGTCAACAGTTGCTTTGGAGTGAAAGTCCCAAACATTTGTTATTAATTTATTCATTGATATTATGTATTATATTTCTTCTTGTAAAAAGAAACTTCTTCATACTTGTCAACATTCACTGGTGGAAATCAACTACCAATTTTGGTCATTCACAAAAACATATATAAATAATTACTCTATTTTTTTTTTGTAATTCTCAACTGAATGAAACTAGAGCCATTCAACTATCATGGTAAAATTTTCTTTAAAGTGACGAAATGGATTTTATCCTTGTTATAAAAGATAAGTTTACCTGTGAAAATAGGATCAGAGGGAACTAAAGTGCCTGCAGCAATTAACCCATAGCACATATCAAAGCTGAAATATGCACGCAATAACGACTACTTTCAGATCTAGTGAGCAGACATAATAAAGAATGTTTCATAAACAAGGATAATATATCCAGAGATAGCCAGTCTTTCTTGCCCGTAAAACAGTTTTTAAGTATACGTAATACAAAATTATTGCATTGCATAATAACTAAGATTTTACGAATTATCTTCATATTAGTAGACCACCTCAAATTTAATATTCTTTTTTTATCAATTACTCAGCTATTTTTCAGAAACAGAAGATTTTATTATCTTTCGTTTAAAATTAATGTTTTGCTTTAGATTATAATTAAATTTTCTTTTTTATAGCTGATATATTTAATTTTGAAAATTACAAAATCGGCATCAATCTTCTTCATAAAAACAATTATACCCAAAATACTAAGAAGAGTTTAATTTCAAAATAAATGTTAAAAATATATATATATGAAGTGTTTTAGCGGATTTGAGAGAGTATTTGTAGAAATTTAAAAGATATCCTATCAATATCAAGTCTATAAATGAAAATTATTAACAATATTTTAATATATTTAGAGCGCGTGCACAGAACTGAAGACATTTGAAGTATGTATAATTTATAGCTGCCAACATGGATAGGAAAAAATCCAGTAAATTTTACAAAATAATATAAATCTCATACTAATTATTGCATAATATATTAAATATTTGACATGCAGGGAATTAGATATTTTTAGTCATTAAACTTCTAACAGTATAAGGTCTGCAATATTTTTCAGTTAGAATTGACATTAAATGAATTTGAAATGTTATTTATTATGTTTACTCATAATTTTGAATATTAAGAGGCATTTAAATCAAAGATAAGATTATAAGATTTCTTAATTAATTTAAAAAGTTCTGAACAAAAATTAAACCAAAAATGTTAGAGCAAAAAAAGTTTTTAAGTGATTTCTATAAATGAGGCTTGCTTCATTATGCATTAGTAATACTTATTAAAATATTCAAGCAAGCAATTAACTGTGCAAAAATTATATTTCAATAGGGATTTTTTTTAGGTAACTTACTCAGTTTCAGGAAATTTTATAAATCATACTAAAACCAGGAGAATTTTTTATTAACCCAGGAGAAACTGACAGAATCCAGCAGCTACGATAATTATTAAAGGATATCTTAAGAAAAATTCAAAGCTAATTTTCTACTACCTGGATATACACGATTCTAGAAAAGCATGAGGTTAAGAGTATGTAAGAAGACAATTCAAATGATATTAACTCAAAAAAGAGTAGCATTTTTAATGTTCAACAGTTTTGCACTCAACAAGTAAAACATTTCTGCTTTGATTAAAATTACAGATGAACTGCATAAACATAAGCAATTTAAACTGCGCTGAAATTGACGCATACTAGTTTACAAAGAACTCAAGACATTTTCGGAGCCATTAAATAAGTGTTAATTTAATGTGTGGATATATAAATTGCACATATACAAGTAATTACTCCTACATTGGAAATATTTCATAGCTTTTTAATACTTTCATACAACATGGATTGTACATAAAGAATGCAAATTGAAAATATAGATTATATCTAAATTTAAGGATTGCAAATAAAAGGAGAGCATAAAAAAATTCAAAGATGGTACTTAAGTTTGTCCTGAAAGTTAATTCTCAAGTAATCAGTGTCTGAGGAAGAGCACCGTTAACTGAATTATAGCAGTGTTACTCAACAAATCTATTGAAAAGGTCATTCAAAAAAAAGATTTACACCATAACGGGTGGAAACTTTCATAAATTTTGCACCATTATTCAAATTTTAAAGGAACAAGATAAGTTTATACAGTTATAATATGCAAATTACTTTTCTACTTTTGAATCATAATATTTATCAATAAATATTTAAATAAAAAAACAGTCTGACTATTCAGTAAATTAAGTCTATGATTGTTAAAGATTATAAACAAGAAAAGTTTGATACACACTTTAAATATCTTAAGCATAATTTAAGTAGCCATATATCATATCTGAATTATTTTTATTAAAAATTGAAGTAAAATCTTGAAATTTAGAAATAAAATAGTTACTTTTGTATTAGAAAAACAGTATAACATTTATAATAAAACAACTTAAATATTTTTTAACATACTGAATTTTTTTTTTTTTAAAGTGTATTGCAGGCAAGATACTAGGGGTTGAGAAACACTGCTTTAATGTTACTTAAAGAATATTGCAAAAGATAATAAAAAATAAGCTGACTCTTTTGCATTGTTTCTAGTCATAATAACACTAGAGATTTTTTTTCTTTCCTTTATATATTTACATATTTTAATTTGAAGAGAAATTTAAAGAAAAAGAAAACAGGAATGCTGTAACTCATCATTATCTCAATTACATTAGGAGATGAATAATTTGCAAAAAGAAAAATATATATGTATGGAAAAATATTAAATGATCATTCTATGGAATGTAACAAAACGTTTTCACATTTTTTTTTTACTATATTAAAACAATGAATATGGCATGGTTCTTACACAAAAAGGCATAATTTGAAATTTTCACAAAGATCATTAATAATTAGCAGAGTGGAACCAGCCAAACATATTTAAAAATAAAGAACCAAAGATTTATAAAAACAACAAAATTCAACAATCAAACAGGTATACTTCAGATAATTGTGTAATAACCAAACATGTGTATGCATAAGAAACTGTTAGCAAATTTATTACTTAATAAATGCTGTTTATGGACCCAGAGCTGAAATTTTCCATTTTTCGATTTCTAATGCGACATATTTTATACAATCCAGTGGGATAATTTTATTGCATTTCCAATTAGTTGGAAAAACAATGCAGTACACGTTGTAGTGAGGTCTTTTTAAAACAAAATTAGAAAAATATAGCTACTTAAATAAAAGAACTTTTATATAAGAACATAAATAGTGATAAAAATTTCCACAACACTATAATAGAACATGTATAAGACCGCAGATTAACGCTTAAAAAAATTATAGGGGAGAAAAAAAATCATTCATGCCAAACTGAGATTACAGGCTTTCACATACACAAAAAGTGTGTGGGCATGTTCTGTATATTGTTCTTTCACTATTATCTAAAGTAAAGAACATGGCAACACACAGGATGCTATGAAATAATCAGTCTCAGTATACCTTTAGAACTTTTTTTTTGTTTTTTTTTTATCAATGACCAAATATCTTCAGATAAGTGTTATATAATATATACAAATCGTCCAATGTACATTACTTTTGAATTTTTCAAAAAAATGAAGAAAATGGTAGTTTTTTTTTCTTTATCAATTGTCTGCTGCCTGATGTCAGCCCAGCCTATGACTTGCAGCAGCCACCACCCGATTGATTTTGGTTTTCACTCAGGTCCACTCCTCTTCGACCATCGCTTGCACCACCATTTCCAGTATTTTGGTCACTTTTCGGTAATTTTTTTGCTATAAAGTTATTAACATGATTAAACTTATATTTTGATTAAAATCAGTCTACACAAAAGCAAATAAAAAATATGACAATAATAAAAATCTTAATATATGATGTGAAATTCAAAATATAAACAAAACTATTTTTTAAAGCTGATTAAACCAATGATGAATTAAAATTTTTTTTTTTGCAAGTTCTACAGGGTGCGTAGCGTTTGTAAAAAGTACTTAAAGGTGCTTTTTGGGAGATTTCGTTTTCAAAAGCTTTTATAGGTGCTTTTTTCAGCTGGCGTTTTTAAAAAGTGCTTTTTTTTCCCCTTCAGTGATATCTGGCGGATCCCCTGCATTTCGCGAAAAATGGGGTGTTTGCTACGTAATCATTCATGTACCCACGTTATGACTTGCGCATGCGCGCACACTCGAAACTGAAACGCGAGTGCTCCAATTCGTATAGAGTCAGATCCTTATTAAATGTTTCACTTTTTAATTTATAATTTTATTCTTGTTCATTTTATTTTACTTCTAACACTTTTTTGATGTAGGGGGTAAGGGTACTTTTGTCCTGAGTTCAGAGTCAAGTTGAATTCACTCGGTGATGTGGCAAAGTACTGATTGTTTCGATTTACGTCCATTTCTTTTTGAGTTTTTTTTTTTT